CTTCTCCCCATAGAAATAGTTTCTTCCCCTCTTCTATTTCATTCTCTTTCTTTTCTCTCTTACTTTTTTTCCTTTTCCCAACTTCATTTTTGCACTCATTTTCTTTACTTTTTCTCTTTTTTCTTTTTCTCTTCTTTCTTCCTTATCCCCTAATTCTCTTTGCTATGGTGGTCACCTTTATTTGGGGTTATTAGTATCGTGAATAAGAGATCAACCGAAGGACTTGTATGCATGCATATAAGCATAACCAATGGAGGCTGGGGGATTGTCAAGGGGGGGGGGGGGAGGAAAGGAGACATATGTAATACTCTTTGTAATACTTTAAGCAATAAAAAAAAAAGAAAAAAAGGAAAATGGAGTGGAAGACACGTAATAACAGATTTATAATATTTTCTTACCTTGACTGCGTAACTATTAAGTGGATCTTTTGCATATGAAGCTGTGTAGTAAACTGCATCACCTGCCTCACAACATGGCTTGTCATTGGTTAGCCTGAAGTCTGACCAGCTGTCCATCCCAAAACGGAGTTTGTCTTTCTGCCCAGCCATAAAGAGGTCTTCACATTTAATAGCCAATTTCTTTAAGGCATCTGTATGAAGGCTTCGGATTTTTCCCACCACTTCTTCCCGATTCTCAAGTCCTCGATAAAGTGCATGTCTCTGTGGCTTCTGGATACCTTGGCCCTGTCTCCAAGAGGGACCACGTTGACTGGACAGGGACTCCATACTGTTGGAAAATCTATCCTTAATATTTAGAGTGGTTAAACTGGAGATGCTGTTTGCTGCTGGTCGCTCCTTGTGTAAAGGTCTCTCTAAGGAGTCATAAGACTCAGTGTCCAGTCCCTTGAGTTCATAACTGATGGAAGAGCAAGCACTGCTGGCATCCCAGTTGGGATCGATATCATAGGTGGGATTAGTCATGACAGAAAGACTAGTTTCCATGGATTTTTGGAGGTCTTTGGAGATTGGCTCTGTGTTGGCTCTTAAGATCATCTTCTTTGGCAGTGGGGGTGGTTCAGCTTGGGAAGCATTAGGTGCTTCTTGGTCTGTTTTCTCACCAAAGATTATGGCATCATCCAAAGCCCCCTTAGGCTGCCGTGGATGCTTGGGAGGTATCATAGCTGCTCTAGATTGCCCTGCATTGTTTTAAAACAAACAAAGAAAAAAAGAATAAGTAAAGTTTTCATTACTGTTACATAATTGAAACTTAAGCAAAAAGAAGTAAGGTGGCCATAAGAATGTAAGAAGTCAATGCCTTAATTCAAAATAATAGAAGAAAACAACCAAATGAACAACTAGTTAAATATTAAAGGTAGAGCTTAATACTTGGTAGGAGCAATAAATGTGAAAATGTCTCAGTATTTCTGTGCCAGAGGAACAGGGTGATGGGCTTTGTTTTAAAAAAGGAATCCAGATTCTCCAATCCTGACCCCAAGAGTGCTGTATTTTCCACACTAGGATACTAAGGAGTCAAAGACACTAAAATAATTGTGTTGTGGAAGAATAGAGATAATAGCATTTATGAGTAAAAAAATACTGGGGAGCATTATTAAAAACAATTGAAACTATCAATGAGACCACTAAACTGGTCCTCAGGAGATACTATTCTATACTTTTAACTTTGTCCTAAAGTTATCTTATATTCTGTACAACACTTGCCATTTTCAATCTAACACATATGAATATGATTTCATAAACTATGTTCTTTTATTTCACTACAGTGATGGATTCTGGCACTGCTTAAATTGGTCTATGTATAAGATCCAGTGACTGTGGTATATATAAGCAATTAACAGCTGTTCCAAATATCATTCACACACTCATATAATTCTGTTTTATTGGGGAGGGGGCACATAAACTGTGATTTGAGAGATGCTAGTTCTGAACATCTCTGACAAGTCCTAGTTACAGAACCAATCACTTCTGATTCCTTTCCAGTATTTATGCTTAGAAGAAGATAAAACAAACATGTATGTGATCAATGACATCGTCGGGGCTTATTGTATATGGAATAGGAAGCATTATCTTTTTTTTTAAGACAGAGAAATATACCATGAAACTTTTATTTAAAGCTATTAAAATTAGTAATGTTACTGACACCTCAACTTAATATCTCACAGTTAGAGCATACTGCTCTATTACAGGTTGAATGATGTCCCTTCTCCCAAAATATGTTGAAATCCCAATCCCTGGTACCTGTGAATGTAACCTTATTTGGAAATAGGGTACTTTTAGAGGTGATGAAATTAAGATGAAGTCATTAGGGTGGGCCCCAATCCAATATGACTGGTATCCTTATAAGAGGCAAAACGATACATGAAAACAGATACACAGGGAGAACACCAGAAGCAGAAATTGGAGTAATGCATCTGCAAGCCAAGAACTCCAAGGATTGATGGCTACCACAAGATACTAGGAAGAGATAAAGAAGTATTCTACCCTGAGTCCTAGTGGGAGCATGGCCTTGAAAGCACCTTGATTTCGGGCCCCTAGCTCCAGAACTGTGTGAGAATAAATTCCTCTTGTTTCAGGTGACCCAGTTTGTGGTACTTTGTTACAGCAGTCCTAGGGAACTAATACATGTTCTTACTGATGATCAGACAGAATAGAAGGCACTGATGGTCCTGAGGATGATAATGACCTAAAATGGTGGTTTGTTTAATTAAAAATATGTCCTTGTAGCAATGCCAAGGGTAAGCACCAATATGAACTGTGATTGTAATAACAATATATTTCACTTCCCATGCATGCAACTCTGCTCAAGAACATCTAATAGTTTATACAAACTATGGCAATATATAGGGTTAGGTCAAAAAAAGGTTTACAGTTATGGGTATACAGACCACTTTATTCTTTTATTATTATTTATTATTATATTATTTTCCATAAGAAAAACAGTAAACCTACCATTGGTCCACCCTGTATATAGCAACACTAAAAACCCCATTTCTCCACCAATGGTATGTAGCAATTTTTTAAACAAGGATTACATTACATATAAACAAAAATATTTATACTAATAATAGAGGAATATGCAAATTGTCATCACAGTAATGACTGAACAGCAGGCTGCTTGGGGAGACAAGGCCGGCAGAGGGGTTAGTGAAGGACGACCAAACGACTAAACAGCAGGCTGTGTGGGGCGACCAGGCTGGCAGAGGGGTAAGTGAGGGACGACCAAATGACTGAACAGCAGGCTGAGTGGGATAACCAGGCCGGCCGGAGGCGGGGGGCGGGGTGGGGGCAGTTAGGGGCAATCAGGAAGGCAGGCAGGTGAGCAGTGAGGAGCCAGCGGTCCTGGATTGTTAGAGGGATGTGTGACTGCCAGTTTAGACCTAATTTCATGCACCGGGCCTCTAGTGTAAATACAGACAGCATGAGAATAAGAGGAAGAATATGACAATGCTAAACTCTAAGAGGGCCGGGATGTTTGTTTTACTCATTTTTTGTATCTTTATGTTAGCAACAGGGCCAGGATATAATAGATGCTCAATAAATATTTTTTGAATGAGTAAGGAATAAATATTTAGGGTTGCAAGAGCAAAAGTGATACATTTGTATAGTTATCTAGAACAAGGAAAGATTCTGAATTATCAATTTTAAAAATTTCCAAAAGGAAAAGCCCAGGACCATAGGGCTTCAGTGATAAATTCGACCAAACATTTACTGGTAAAGAAATATTAATACCAATCCTTGCCCTACCAGTTTGGCTCAGTAGATAGAGTGTCAGCCTATGGACTAAAGGGTCTCGGGCTTGATTCCAGTGAAAGGCACATGCCTGGGTTGTGGGCTCGATCTCCAGTAGACGGCGTGCAGAAGGCAGCCAATCAATGATTCTCTCTCATCATTGATGTTTCTCTTTCTCCCTCTCCCTTCCTCTCTGAAACCAATAAAAACATATTTCAAAACAAACAAACAAAAAACAATCCTTCACAAACTCTTCCAAAAAATAGGAGGGAGGAACACTTCCTAACTTGGAATCTATGTGATCAATATCACCTACATACCAAAAACCAGATAAAGACATCACAAGAAAACTAGAGACTAATATCCCTTATGTATATAGACACAAAAATCCTCATGAAATACTAGCAAGCTGAATCAAGCAACATATAAAAAGGACAATCCAGGACCGCTGGCTCCTAACTGTTCACCTGCCTGTCTGCCTGATTGCCCTAAACTGTCCCTGCTGCCAGCCTGATGACCCCTAACCGCTGCCTCCTGCCGACCTGGATGCCCCCAACTGCCCCCCCCCCCAGGCTGGTTGCCCCATGCAGCCTGCTGCTCAGTCATTTGGTGGTCCCTCACTAAACCCCTGCTGGCCTGGTCGCCCCATGAAGCCTGCCATTCAGTCATTTGGTTGTCTCTCACTAACCCTCCTGCAGACCTTATCACCCCACGCAGCCTGCTGTTCGGTCATTGGTCTCTGGTTGTTTTGGTCCCGACGCTCCATGACTTTTTATATATTAGGATTACTAAAATTCTGAGGCACACCAAAAATATATTTTTTGTAGATCTGAGAAAAAAACAGGTATAATTTTGATTGATTAAAAAATAAAGTAATTATCTACCTTTTCTGCTCCAAAGTGAGTTTTTAAAAGACCAGGTGCCTATACTTGTATATAAGGATTTCTGGTACCAAGAATTAACCAATCAGACACAGTCTTATTATGTGACATGACCAATAAGATGCAACTATATTATATGATCTATACATTTATGGTTCAAGACAGGGCATTCACACTGGACAGCTATTACTATATTGGTTGTCATTTTTAAATTTGACAATCTAAGGCAGTGGTTCTCAACCTTCCTAATGCCATGACCCTTTAATACAGTCCCTCATGTTGTGGTGACCCCCAACCATAAAATTATTTTCGTTGCTACTTCATAACTGTAATTTTGCTACTGTTATGAATTGTAATTTAATATCTGATATGCAGGATGTATTTTCATTGTTACAAATTGAACATAATTAAAGCATAGTGATTAATCACAAAAACAATATGTAATTATATATGTGTTTTCCGATGGTCTTAGGCGACCCCTGTGAAAGGCTCATTCAACCCCCAAAGGGGTTGCGACCTACAGGTTGAGAACCGCTGATCAAAGGCAAAAGAGGTTAGTGACCCTGACTAAATCATCAGGTATTGCATGTTTTAAAATTCTTGTGGCACACTGGTTGAAAATCACAGCTATACACCATGACAGAGTTGTATTTATCCCCAAAATACAAGGTTGGTTTAACATCTGAAAATTGATGGAATATACCATGTAAACAGAAAAAAAGGGAGAAAAACCCTCATATGATCACCTCAATAGAGGCAGAAAAGCATCTGATAATATCCAACGTATTTTCATGATAGAGACACTGAACAAAATAGGAAAATAAGGGAACACCCTCAACCTGATAAAATGCAAAAAAAAA